AATTAGTTTGGTCAAATTTTGTGCAGGCTGTTGACAAAGATGACCAAAAAAGTGCATATCATATAGAAGTTTTTTTTATATCACTACAAATTAATCATCACATGAACTCATGCCATAAGCAAGGCTATTATTCAGACAGTGTGATTTGATATTTTATTCTTTAAAAATGGAAATAATCCAAATCAGACAAGGACGCAACTTGAGACAAGTCTTTTTTCACGAGAAATTCTGTCGAGTATCATCCATTTATTTTAGTAGCTTTTTATTAAACTGGTAAGAACATTTTGATAATCAATTAGTAATTTCAATTAGGTTCCAATCAAAATGTCAAACATCCTCTGATTCCATCTTCAAGTGGTCGATAGTAACTAAGTACATTTACTCAAGTACTGTACTTAAGTACAATTTTGTGGTATCTTTACTTTACTTGAGCATTTTTATTTTCTGCTACTTCAGACTTCACTACATTTCAGTCAAATATTATACTTTTTACTCCTCTACATCTATTTCATTAGTGTAGTTACTAGTTACTTTTCATAATCAGATTAATAATACAACATGCACTATAATCATAGGATTTTGCTGATTTCTGCAAATTATAAGCACATAAAATAGTTCAAATTAGCTCCACCTTTACCAGCTGCAACATTAAATGCGATGTACACAGTGCATGCATCAATAATTATAATCCAAAGATATGATATACTCATATGTAATGTGTCTGCATAATGACTACTTTTACTTTTGGTACTTTAAGTATATTTTGATTCTAATAGTTTGGAAGTTTCATTTAAGTATCATTTTTATGCAGGACTTTTACTAGTAACAGAGTGTTTTTAGATTGTGGTATTACTTCTTCCACCACTGCCATCTTTGCTGCTTTTCTTTCTCTCACTCGAGAGTTAATGGGATTTGCTTAGACGTTCAGACAAAACGACACTTTGATAATGGAATTTTTCACTAGCCTACAGGACACGTTTTACAACAACAACAACAACAACAACGAATAATAATAATAATAATAATAGTTACGGACCTAATTAACGAGACAAACTTGTGCGCACGGTACAAGTTCTGGGAATACCGAAACATTGCTTAAAAATAAAACACCTCAACCCCAGAAACTATATTATGGTAACTTAGCCAAGCCAGTTAAGCTTATTAAAAACAGGTTAGCCCTGAAACGAAAGCCTAACTTATCTAAAGTACACAACAGTCTGTGAAAATAAGTTTATCGTGAGCCTGACATCACCCTGCAGGTGCAGCGAACTTGTTGCATCCTATTATATTAAAACACACTATTCTGGCAGAAAATGAAACACAAAGTGAAAACAACTCACTAATGAACAAGCAGTCCATCTTTGTACTACGAACAACAAAGTATTTCATCAGTTAACCCGTTGACAAAAGTTCCTTTCCCCGTGTTTAAACGATTTAGGACATAGAAATAACACGATTTCCGGTCAGCAGTTTCAAATTAAAGGTAGCAATCGAGAGAACTGGGTAATGTAAGTGGAGTGAAAGTGAAAAAATACAGTAACATCGCATATCTAAGGGAGGAAAATGTTCCGTATATTTTTTACAGAACGTAAAATTCGTGTGGACCCCTGTGTGTCACAGAAAACCTAACCGTCCACAGCATGCTGTAAGCAGAGTTAATGTGATTCCATAGTATGACAGCTGTGATATTATATTATCAGCTTACTGAAATAGAGGCCATAAGGAGACAGTTAGGTTGTTTCTGACCAAATACCGCACTTATGCAGAAAATATTCTCTTCAGATAATGTTCCTAGATATATATTAAAATAATAGACTTACAACAAAAATCTGTTGTGTCACACTGTAAAATATTGCTTTTAAAAATACATGCATTATGTTATCAGACTCCCTGTCCAGATAAATTAAAGAATAGTTTTGTCAATGAATGCTGCTACATTTGTCCTTCATCTTTCTGGGTCTGACATCCCTTGCATTGCTGAATCTTGTTTATGGTACGACAGCTGTTTGTGACTTCCTTCTGTTGATATAGATTATTAAACACACCTTATTAAGACCTGCACATCTTAGAATAGAATAGAATATCCTTTATTGTCATTGCACTGAAAAACAATACAACGACATTTAAAAGACAGCTCTCCTAGAGATACTTCCATCACCCACACACTCACGCACCTCACATCTTCTAAAAGCATGCCAAGATACTGTGATGTAAAACTGATGTATACAACAGGACAGGAAACTCATTTCTGTCCTGCTCCCAAAGAAAATCTTCTCTGACTCTTTACCAACAGTTAATCCTTATACCGTGACTTGCTGCTCCTGCTGAGCACATGACCTTGAAAAAGAATGAGTGGAAAATGTAGTATTTGCACTGCTCTAAGCTCAGCTTTGAAAAACAATGAGTCAGAGGACAGGCTTAAGGTGTTATCACTGATATATCTTTTCCCCATAGAGTGAAATTATTAAAAATGTTATTATCTCTGCTTGTAAAATCACAAAATATATTAAATTATAAAGCAGCTTTAGTTAAATATGACAAAAAAATAGCCTCAGATATGCAGAGGCACTTATGTGCCTGACGATGTGAAAGGTAAACCGTCACTGACTGCAAAACTCAGTTATAAAAGGTAATGAATCAACACAGACATGCAACTTACCATTAAATATACTGCCTTAGCATGTCTGTGTCACAAAGAAGATTTAAATTAATACAGAAGCATTTCTGATTAAATGTAAGCCTTTTATGTAAGCCTTTTGTATGCCATTATGGACTGTGTGCCTACCTTTGCAATAGTGTTAACAGTGAGTTATCCCGCCTAAATATCTTGCGGTGAATGGAATGTTCCTTCCAGCAGGATCCTGTGGTCTTGTATGTACTGTACAAGTATCTTCTGCTGGGCCTGTCTGAACCTATCCTGCAGGTATTTTCAGTTGCAATGCTTGATAGGAAAAGTGACCCTGTCACAAGTCAAAACAAGATGGAAGTTTCCTGTGATAAGAAGAAAAAAAAGATAAAAGCAGTTATATGTTGATGTGTGTCACTATGTGTTACCCTGCAATTTATTCACACCCATCATGTTAGGCTGCAGTTATAAAATGAAGGTCCAATAGTTCTGCATTTACGTAGGCTATTCTATGAAACTCCTGTCTATGATACCTTTGATGGAGTCTTTTGGGGAATGTAACTACTACCTACCTGACAGGATCATATATTTAATAGACTCACATTAACCACACCCTAGTATGTGTTTTTGTGGTATTCACAACATTGCACAGGTTCCTCCACTGTAGAAATGTATAGTTTGTTTATACCTGTATGAGTGTGAATGTGTTTTTGTTTCTCAGTTATCTGTTATATTTGCCTAATAACATTTCCACTATCTGCTTTTTATGACCATCTTTATGATGCAGTGGCACTGCACTGCAAGTGATTTCTTAAATTTGATTTCTGGTTTTAAAGGCAACCTCCATGGGCCCTGGATTTTCTAACTACATTAGTGTTGTATTAAATAAAAAACCTCAGGGACGTTTATAAGAAGAAAGCCTTTCTATTTATGGCAATAGTTAAATTTCTCTTTAAAAAAGACTGAAAAGTCATTATTTTACTGACATTGTTGTATCACTTCATATCAGAGGAAACTGTTTTTCTTTACAATCTGATATTCAGATTTTGGCACAATATTTACTATCCCAAAGCCATAGACAAAAAAAAAGGCCCTTTTGGTTTGTCACATCATCTGTTAATAACTGGGGAGTAGGGGGGGGGGGGAATTCTCACAGGCCAGACTAGGTCTCTAGTCCTGACTTGCTGTGAGAACAATACCTTTCAAATAAACTACAAGACTATTCAGAGAGAGTAAGTGGACACCATCCAACTTTCCCACTGTAAAAGACCTGTCCTTTAATTTCCTTCTCATTCACGTGTCTTTAAAAGGTTCTAGTGTAAGTGAGATGTGTCAGAAAACACCTGACGAGAGCCAAGTAATCCTGCAAATGAAGCAGCCATGTGAGACAATGATAGAAGGTGATACAGTGACATGATGGAAAAAGTTAATAGAAGATAAGAAATGCAACAACATGTTACATAAGAAAAATTGTATGACTGAGTGGCTATGCACACATTACATGTACATGCACATCTTCTTAATCCAACACTGTGGTGAGGAGGTTTAGCAGTGCTCTCAAGGTTTAATGACTGCCTGAGCTTTGTTACTTTGATTTGTTTCCATGGACACAGCTGTAGCATAGATGACAGAAAAATGGGAAGTGCTTTTAATGCATGTGTTTTGGTGTGTGTGTGCTTGTGTGTGTGTGTGTGTGTGTGTATGTGTGTGCTCACATCATGTGCCCATACATAAGACCGGACAAGTTTGGGAACATTAGCAAACAGGTTGTACTGTTCCTCTGAAATGGAATTCCATGGAAAGATTTATCTGACAGCTTCAAAAGAAGCAATTACTCTCAACATTACATGCCCTAAAGAAATACTACAACATTAGATGTGACTGTCTCCCTGGTTCTCATTTACCCAAATATTGTAAGTCACAAGTGTGTCTCAGGATGAAATCAGTCAGATTGTCCTTCACAGTGAAATGGACAAGTGATTGACCATTGCTCCTGGAAAACAGGATATGTCACACATGTATAGTCTTCACTGGTTCAAATCCATTACTCATGTCATGTATCACTCAACACACCATGAAACAAACACAGGCCAATGCTTGCATGTTTTATGCTTATATGTGCATACTGCTAATCACACTCTCTTGTGTATAACGTAAATGTTGCCTTAAATGTGGACAAACTGCCAAGAAAAGAAATCAATCTTGTGTTTCAAGGTGGAGAATTTGAACGACGACTCAAAGGATAGTTTTTAATTTAGCGTTTATCGATAGTACCCTCAAGTGGCAAAACGACCCTATTACACCATGAATATCAGGACACTGCAAGAAAACTTGGTTAAATTCAATCTTTACTTTTTATTAACCTCAGTGATCAGCATTGATGAAAGACAATGATAAGAAAATGTTGATTACAATTTTTTGAATTGAGTAAAACACAAACTAGAATTTGAGTTGTAATAATTCAGTATTACAGCCTGAGAAATTCAAATGTAGGGTTCCATCTCACATTAATTGTCATCCAGATAAAACAGCCATCAGGAAAAAAGTAACACAGGAACATAAGAGGGATTATCAAGTATAGCAAGTCCTCCAGCTACACACTCATTTTAATTACACAATTACTCATTTTAAAGCACTATGAGCTCTAAAGTCACTGCATGCTGGTGTCTTATAAAGACCCCAAAATAGTGGGACTGCTCTCACTATCTACTGGATCATCTTTAAAAGAATAATTCAGAAAAGATATTATGGCAAAACACTTGCAATCCCAATATACATCAGAGCATGGTGTGAGTGAGATCCAGAGCAAATATAAGGAATGATCCCCTCAATGTTATGTTTTCAGGGTGTGGAACAATTACACACTGATTATACTGATCACTGGCTAGACAGCAAACATCAGTCCATTCTGGTGTCATTCTGCGTGTGACTTCCATCTGCAGGGCTAGAGCATGTGATGCTGGTGATGTTTCTGTAAAGCTGCCCTGGCTGTGTGAGGACGGGTAATGGCTGGTCTGTCCCGGAGTTTGGACATCTGATGCTTGTTGCCAGATTGTACATGGGGCACATCCACCGCCATGCTGAAAGACAGGGAACATTTGTTTTGGTCGACACTACATGGTGGATCTCCAACTGTTATGCAGTGCTAATTAATAATCTATCACAATCAATTTGACAATCAAAAGAAAATCACATTGTGCATTTGGACATGAACATTGACTGATAAACTATATTTATTTCAATTAGTATTTTCCTAAAATATTGAAACTACATAAGATATGGAGGACGTTTAATATATACATACACACTAATATATGAAAGTAGCTTTTAATAACATCATACCATGAATCTATAAGCCCTTCACCAGGAGCACTTGTTGGAGGCGGGCGGGGTATGTGTACAGGCTGGGCCAACAAAGGCACACTGGCCCTGGTCCTCTGCTGGACCCTCTGGACTGGTGGATCTGTGGCTCCTGCTCTTGTACCTGTCCCACGTGAGCACCCAGCTCTGACAGAATCAGGTAAAAGTTCTGAACTGGTCTGACTGAGTTGAAGCCTACGTGCACGAATCCCTTGTGGCTTCGAAAGACCCAAAGCTACTGTGGCACTGAAAGGGGGAGCAGGGAACATCGTGGTGTCTGGGGACAGGGACACTCGAGCCAAATCAGTGGAAAAAGCTTCTCTATGATGCAGGCCTGAAAACAAAAATCATTAGAAAAGGTTCAGTAGCTGCAATGCTCTCCATAATCTACTGGTATAAACTGTAATTTATGTCTTTGTTTTAAACCTAGATGTCATTGTGGACAAACTAATATCACATTGTTTAATTCTACATCTCCACAGTCTTTTTTATAAGTAACAGAAAGCAAGATCATTCAGTGAGTGGCCTGTGGAGAGAGACTCCAGTGAGGAAACTAGTGAGGCAGTATCTCTCCATGTTCTTCATCACTACTGTCATTTTTCATACCACCAAAGCCTTCTTCCTCATTGCCATCTTCCTCCTCGTCCTCATCACTATGCTGAATAGCCAGAATCTGCGGTAATCTTTCTGTCTCTATGGCCTGGAGACGCCTGAAAAACAAAGTAGGAGGACATTTAGTTTTTCCACCTCACTTACTACAAAACTAAAACTGTAACAGTCTGCATCATGCATTTAAAGATCCTACACAGATATAAAGTGGGCACATATTTCAGTTGGGTTCCATGTAGTATACACTGTTTGGATTAAATATGATTGTCTGTTTTCATCTTAAAACAAACAAAGAGAGAGACTTAAGAGAGTTAGTACCTGCTGTGCTGCTCCCTCCAAGCTCTAAGCTCAGCAAACACATCAGCACGTTCTCTAACATCAGGTTCCTCAAGGTCAAACGTGTGCTCTGGTACATGGATGGGCAGGTCACGATGGGTGAAAGTAGACCTAGTGGGTGCTGTCTGCAAGAATGAAAAGAGAGCAGGATAGCAGGATGGCAGGAGAGGAAGTTAGAAAACAAATCAGAGGAGCTGAGTACATCAATTGTGGATAGAAACCTGGCTACCAGTCAGAAAAACAAGAGGGGCAGACTGCACAGGAGGGAGAGGTCAGAGAATACCAAGAGTGACAGCAGCATGCATGACAGATGACAAAGCACATGGCATTGGCAGTGAGAGCCTCATATGTTAAATCTCTCTGACACTACTGAACCCTTCACGCATCCCTATCCTCTGTGTCCTCCCAGCAGCATGCCCATCCTGTAGTTCCTTAGCTCCTTCTGTTTAAACTAACATGACATTAAAGAGATGACCTGCTGGTGCCAGACAGCCATAATGGCTTGTCAAAGCCCATAAAGCTTGTTGCTCTTTTTAGTCGGTACTAAATGCTCTACTATATGGCAAAGAGTGTGCCAGAAATGATGGACTGATGTGGATTAATTTCATAACTGATTAACAGATGTCTGTTTTTTTTAAGAACAAAAAAAAACAAAACAATTTTGTTACCCTCAACTTTTCTCGCCTTGCTCGAATAGCCTGGACTGGATTCCCACAGAACAGGATCTTACCAGCTCCTTCAAAAATCAACAGATAAAAGAGAGATGTCAATAAATCATTCTTATATTACACAATTTAGTCCTCTTGGTGGCACTTCTGAGTAAAGATTGCTGTTGAGAATGCTGTCTTCACAACATTATATTAATCATAAAAAAAAAGCAAGTGACAATAGCACAACACACACGCACAAAAAATAGAGTTGGAAACGGTTCTTGTGGCTCAGTGGTGTGGCCACAAAAGACATGGTTAATCAAGACACTAAAGCAGCAACAGAGACAGGTCTGTAACACTGATTAAGTTAATACACTGTGGCTGGTAGTAGAAGATCTGACAGGAGAAACATCATTGTGAAGAACAGTTGCTGGCATGCCTAACCATGTGTCAGGATGCTGGTTTCTGCTTCCACTGCTGCTAGATCTGAGTCTGCAGAACCAGGTCTGGATCCAGGAGGGGAGAGAACTCCAGGCCTGTTCACTAACATGGGTCTGGAGCCTGCTGACAAGACACTGGAGCAGCAGGAAGTAGGACGCCTGGCCGTGCTGGGTCTGCTGTAGGGATATGCACTGTCTGCTCTCTCCTCTAAAACAACAAAGATGAGTGGCCCTTTAAATACACCACTGTAATTACTTAGTCTGTGTTGACTGCATCAAAACAACATATACATACTGTACACACACACACACACACACACACACACACACACACACCATCTTCAGCAGCATCCTGAGAGGAGTTGTAGTCTCTGATGGAGTTCTGGAGAATGGCCCAGTCTTGTCCCATGATGCTGCAACAGCTCAGCTTGTCCTCCTCTATCCTGACATCGTCTAGGTAACGCAGCTGAGGGACCAACTCCCTCACTGAAGCCCGATAACTGTAGTCTGCCGTCTGGGCAAAAGAGAGGAAATATAAGGAAGAGAGAGACAGTGACATGCAAGCATATGAAATGCCTTTTTCAGATATCACAGCTAAAGCTCAAGCTTAGACTTCTTCAAAATGGGTTTCAGTTCAGTCGGTTGTTTTATGCAGATCTAAATATTTCCATTTAATGGCATGTAACATTTAATGTACTTACAGCCATGAGTGCATTATGTAACAGTGTTTTCGTAAGAAATACGAAATACTGTTGCATCTATTCCTGTTGTGGCCATACTGAACCAACGACTCAGATCTGTGCTTGACACCCTGACAACCCCTGCCTTGCTAACGTAAATTATATTAATGTACACATTAAAAAGAGCATTGATAATAATCAATCAAACCAGTGGTACACCAGCAGTATAAAGGTATAAAGGGCAGTGGTAAATCTAATGACGGTTACTAGCATCATATTAAGATAATGCATATTGGTTACATTACATGATATCTTTTTGACTATTATGATGCTTAATTAATCTGTGAAACCTATAAACAATGAGGGAGAATATACGTAACTAGTGGTACCAAAGTCTACAATGGGCACTTTGCAGTGAGGTCCGGTCTTTTATTAGCACAAAGAGAGAGAGGGAGAGAGCAGAGAGAGTCCAGTAATCACTGAGCTACTGAGCAATTAAAATTGGAGCTGGGCACTCCAGCCCTTCACCCAACCACACAAATTCAGTGAATGAAAAAGAGAGTGAAGGGCTGACAAGGAGGAAATGAACGAGAAAAGAGAAGGAGAATGAAGGCTGAGTGAGAAGAAGTAAGTGGATGTTTGTGTATTTGTGTGTGTGTCTGTGTATGTGTGGTGGAAAGAGAGAGCAAGGGGAGTGATAGTTTGGCAAGAGAGCAAACCCAATAACCCCCCCAGTCACTACAAAGCACAGGCCTAATGCATATTCAGCTCAGCATCTCTACTCATTGCCCTAGTTTCCTAATTAATGCTCTGCTGGTGGGTGTAAATAAAAACATTCACAGTGGCCCAAAAAACTCACAGCACACAGCGGAAGGTGGAAATCCAGCCGTATATTCAGCTACAGTCAGTAACACTAAATTGGTTTAAGGTGAACTGCTTTATGAACTGGACATTTATATCCAATTAATAACATATTGACAAGTATAGAATGAGCTTAAATATGGACATTATATACAGTATGTGTAATATCTCCACATAAGAGTGTGTCAGTTGTGTGTGGCTGTTTTGTTTGATTATTTTAATGCCTCCTGCTCTGCCAGCGCCCAGTCTGGTGTGTTGAAGACCAGAGTAGTGAGATCATACAGATACTTTCATGTCTCAGCAGACGCTAATTACATTTCAGTCATTAAGTGACAAAGCCATGAGAGCTAACAGCATGCTAGCACAGGAGAGAAGTGAATGATACCGACATCAAACCACAAATTGCAATTGCAAGTCAGCTTTTACAACATCAACTGAATTCAACACTTCCTCTTCAAGAACTTTGTCCATCTCCTTGCTCAAGCTTTTGTTCAAAGCCAGTTGTTCTCTACTTTTTTAAAAATATTTAGCCAGATTGCTGTGACTGACTCTTGTGCTAGTTGATAATGATTCCTTCAATTAGTGTGAATGCAGGACAATTCAAGTGCATTCTGCCGTTGGGCACAGAATGTTAATCTGGATCAGATAAACATGCACAGACAAGATCACATACAAACAAACATCCTTAGCGGACATTCTTCTTGCATTAACATCCTTGCTTGATGACACAACAGTTGATTAGGAATAACTGTTGGTCTTACGTAGAGTATAGTCAAATTCTTGACTTTTCTAGCTAATACTGGTTCTCCCTCATGCCTCCGACTCTCTACTCTTTGGAACAATGTGTATTTGTCAAATGTGTGTCTGCCGAATCATAAAGAACAAACAAGGAGCCTGATAAGGACAGACGGATGGTAGTTAAACCTGATCTTAGCTTATACTAGTGTCATCTCCTTTGGCAGGTGGTGACAAATGTATATTATTTGGTTTTATGCTATATATTTATTATTATTATAAACATGATATGGTATTCCCCTACCTGTGTGGAGGTGGGATTTGGGCGTACACACACAGGGTTTCCCTCTAGAGTAAGTGTCTGGAGTTTGCCACACAACCCCAGATATTGAACCTGGACCAAGTCATCCACATCGTTGCCTTCCAGATCTAACACCTGCAGGTTCTCCAACATGCAAACCTGACTCAGATCTGACACATTGTTATAGGCCACGTACAACTCCTGCAAACAGGGAAAGCAGGCACAGACATATATGGAGATGGGGAGGAAAAGGTGTGATTAAAAATACTAGCAAACAGAAAATGTATTAAACACAGATAGAGTCAATAAGAAAGGTAGACATATAGGGAGTTATCAGACAGAGAGTCAGAAAGACAGGTTATGTATCTTCCCATCTCATCGTTACTTTGGAATTTTTAATATTTCCTATATACAGTACATGTAAATGACTTGTGGTACTGTTACTCTTGTGTGAAAAATGACCAGTGCAAAATGACAAATAGAAACATTAATTTAGATGCACACGCGGGGTCACAAGTGACCCGACAGGCTGTTATTCTTCAAAATCTTTAAAACGAAAAGTTGTAATATTTGCATTTTTATTTATTTTTTTCATTAATTTTAAGAAATTGCAGTTTTTGTATCACTACCCCACTCTGCCACAAGTGGGCCAAAAATGACCCCAAGCACTTCCTATGGAATCTTCTATGAACCTTTAATTCTTAGCAACTCTGACTGTCCCACTTATACTGTACATCTGATGTCATCTCTCACATCTGATGCAACTTTGACTGTCAATACTGTCCCACTTACACATCTTTTGTTTGTGATGCACGCACCCCGTTTGTGATTGATGGGATCGTGTACCTAGGGAGACAACCAGGGGAAGACATCCAGAAGAATCTGGGGGAAAACATTGTCCGTCAGTTGTGCAGTGGATTCAGACACACAGGTCGCAACATCACCACTGACAACTTCTTCACCAGTGTGCCTCTTGCAGAGCATCTCCTGGAGAAGGGTCTGACTATTGTGGGAACTTTGCGACAGAACAAGCCAGACATTCCTCCAGTCATGAAGGCTTCCAGGTCCAGAGAGGTCCACAGCACTGAATTTGGGTTCAATGGCAGCATGACCATGATCAGCTATGTGAGAAAAAAGGGAAAGGCTGTTCTGCTGCTTAGCACAATGCACCACAGCAAGATGGTGGATGAAAACAGCCCAAAGAAAAAACCAGAAGCGATCCTCTTCTACAACCAGACCAAAGGAGGAGTAGATACTATGGACCAGATGGTTGGCAACTACAACTGCAAACACCAGACGCAGAGGTGGCCCATGGTGCTTTGGTACAACATGATTGATGTCGCCGCTCTGAATGCCTATTTGTTTTTGAAGGCTCAGCACCCTGAATTTTATACAGGCATCACCGATGGACGACGACACTTCCTCACAGAGCTCTCAAAGGAGCTTGTGACACCTCACATGAAAAGTCGACTGGAAGGTACCCCGACCCTACCAACCTACATCATTGAAGCAATGGGAAGGTGTGGAGTGACAAAAACTGCTGCGATCTGGCCACAGGAAAGAAGCACACAGGGCCAGCAGAAGAGAAAGAGGTGCCAGTTGTGTCCAAGAAACAAAGATCACAAAGCCACTTATTGCTGTTGGAAATGCAGTACTCCTGTGTGCAATGGTCATAGCCAGAAGCAAGTAGTTTGTGACAGCTGCACACAGTGAGAGGAGATAAGATGTTTGTGTGTGTACATATGCGATTGATGTCGCCGCTCTGAATGCCTATTCGGTCAAAAATGACCCCACTCGTGGAAGAGTGTAGGTATTGGTAGGTTGTGCATCCAAGGATTTTAAGAAACCAATTTTAACCAATATGAAATTTTTGCTGTTGAGAAAATTTTGATCAAGAATGCCTTGATTTTGTCCCCCTGCTTCCTATTCTTTTTATCAATACACACATTTTAAATCTTGTAAAAAAATAAAGTTGAATATAGCACACGTGGGCTTTGTTTCTCCAATGCAATTTGTTGAGCTGTTGAACTGTCTCTCCACAGAGCCACTTGTAACCCATAAACTCTACCTTTAGAGAGGAGAGTACAGAAATGCCATCTAGGTCTTGAAGGCAGCAGCGAGACATCCAAATCACCTGCAGGTGGGAGAGGGTGGTTCCCAGGTCTCTAAGGGGACACAGTAGCAGCAAACGTACTTTAGGGGCAAGGAAGGTAGTCACCCAACACCATGAATGATGGGAAAGGCTATCCAGTCCCTTGGTCACTGAAGCTAGAAGCCCCTTTCTCTTTCCAAATATACAAGTCTCTCCTGTGCCTGTACATAACACCCCTTCCAACAGAGTCTCATTCAGTGTATCCACAACCAGATTATACCCTCTCTACTATAGATCCCACAGCCCAGAGCAGGAAATGCTATCAGAGGCAGTGTATGCCCAACGAGCTCTGCTCTGCTACTCTCAGGACAGCTACTTATCTCTCTGTTTATACTCTCTTACCCCAGAGCAGTCTCTTGGGTAATAATTCTCCATGTGGCACATTATAAGGACAATTTACAATGTGTTTATATGTGTGTCCCATCCTGGAGGTTAACTGCTCTGTATCCAATTTTCATGACAGAGACATGGCTGCAATCAAGCTGGGAGGATAATCCAGAACTGATGGGATATTATTTGTTTGCAACTATCCAAATGGTTGACTCTGAAAGCTGATATGCTGTAAACCCTTCTTTGTTATTTTGCGAGAAGTTGGGTGAACCTGTTCGCCAGGTGGATCAATTTCTAGATCAGTACAAAACATCACATCTGTTGGTTTACAAGTTGCAAGATGCATTTTCCTCATACTATCATTGTTTTACCAGACCCCGATGGAAAACCTTAGCTGAAGAGGAGCAGAGCTCTACACCTGCACACAAAGACACTATACTTTTTTCCATCAGGCATACATTCCCATACTTCTGATCTGCCTTTCTTCTTCAAAGTGCTAGTTCCAAGGCCTCTCACTAAAAAGTGTTGCCTAGCATACATGTGACCAGTGTGAAACATGACAGTACCCTTCATGGCTCCATTGCTGCTCTAGGTCGAATTACATACTGTGCAACTATACACTTATATTTTGTGTAGTCATACTGTGACAATAAGCCGACATCTGTAGCACTAATTCAGTTTTGTTCATCACTGGACTTTACTTTTGTTTTGGGGATTTACTTGAGAATCTGTAATAGTGCATGAGGTAATTTTGACTTAATATGAGTGTGTCTGTGTATGTGCTCTGAAGAACATAGTTGCTTTTCATTAATACAAACCAGTACAAAAAGAAGACAATAGTATTTGTGTTCTGTAACTTTATACTCACCTTACTGACATGATCATGCTGTTATTCATTTTCAGCTGCACCAGCTTGGGCAAGTAGGCACCTACAATCAGATGAACAAGGAAGACATTTATCAATTTCATTTATGCTAACAGTGGTGTGATTACTTAATTAAAAGACAGTCATGTCATGTCCGCACTCGTTGCACAGTCGAGGATTTTCAGTCATCCTGCACTCAGGTTGGACATGAAATCACCATGTGCATCACAACAGTGTCTTCATTTTTTCTTATCTAGTTCTGGTTCTTGATTGTCTGTGTGGTTATAAGTTTCTATTATGAATCATCCCTGTACATAGTGTAAAAAAGGAGGTCCAGAGTGTGTTTGCATAAGGACCAAGAGACAAACAATAAAACCAATACAATGAGTAACAGTGAACTGTAATGACCACACAAAGAAACGTCATACCTGTGCAATATGGTGTGAAATATTAAGCTGTGGAGGTGCTGAATAACTTACCAAAGTTACCCAGTGTGTTTTCTTGTGTGTTTATGCAGAGCTCCAGTGAGGTCACATTTGAGAGGTCCTGAGTTCCACAAAGTGATACCTGTGAGAGATATAGAGTAAACACAATACCAGCTGAGCTCTGCTGACATATTGAACTGTCCTTACTTGACATAGCTTCATAATTCAATATGTACCTTAGATATACACTTGTTACTTTGACGTAACACATTATATCAAGCCTGTGGTGTAAAATAATAAATGACGTTTACTGTGTGCAGAGAGAAACCATAAGAATTGGGCAATGACCAGGGAGAATCAGTGGGATGGACACTGACTGTAAGCTGAGGGCACTTATGCTCACCACTAAATTAACTTACCAGCTTCTTTGGAGAAAGGTAAAGCTCCACGGCAGTTTCAGAGTCGTCGCAGGGCTTCCTGACAGGAGTTGGGTTGATGTGCCGTGATCCACTCAGCTCAGTCACCAGGACCCGTGCTGTACCAGGTCGGACATCCTGGGCCACAGACACATGGCAGCAACTCATCTCTCACAGCTACCTGAAATGAATATGAAAGTGTCATAACAACATAGTCAAATGTCTTTATAATAAAGAGGACATACTATGTAGTAGCTACTCTGTTTATATACTTTATCTAACAAGAAGCGTTAAAATTAGCTAACAAATTCGCGTTAACCGTTTTGGTTAAATGCTGCCACTCTAAGCTATTCCAACGAAATGCACTTCTATAGGAATATTATATAGTAGTTTTCGTTAGAATACATTTTACCTGTTAAAGTAAACTGTAGGCTAAAAAGATACTCGACACATTTTTACAGACTGAGGCACTTGGCTTACAAACAAACGTTTGCTTGACAACCATAGACAACTTCCTGGAAACGGCACTGAGAGACGCTTGGCTCCCTGGGAAATGTAATGTACAGCTGCTGTTGAACGGAACCGATTTGAACCAATGCACTCAATTAATAGTTAAAGCCTATCAATATTATCAATGATTGATTTATAACCTCTGACATTACTACCATAGCTTTAACCCACCTACAGTGGTCTGGCGGTGTATTCAAGAGCCCTTTGTAAAGCCCAGCCTTTTAATTGGCTATGTAAGCTTTCACGTTAATGTACTAGCATTTACGCTATTATAGTTTTTTTTTTATGTATCTGCAACAACAATAATTTTCTTGGTGGTTGGTTATCTGAATCACACTCCATATTGAGCCAGAGCCGTTGTTAGATGCAGTGTCAGAAAGAGGAGCAAAAGGAGCTGCTAGGCTATAATCAATGTTTTCTTTTAATGACGTTTACAGTGATGGGGACAATAGAAAACAATTACTAGGTTCTTAGGTTCAAGCAGAGTAAAAATGAAAACATAAGGCATAACCTAATTATCTATAGGCTAAGTCAAATAAGACATAACAGCATAACTGTTCCATATACCCTACCATTTGTATTTGATAATGTTTCTGGGAATTCTGAGGCTCAATTAGCTTACATGAGGAGTTTACATTCTGCCATTTCAACTAATGCATGTTGGGCTTTCTATGCTGATTATGGTCTCTGTTATACTAAATATCTTAAAATATGTCTATTTTTAATTTAATAAAATGATTTGATACTCTCATCATTTATGTGTAAAGACGAGCATTTTATCAAAAATCTGAACCAAAAATGAAATCAAAATTATGGAAATGCAAATTCAGTTTTAAGTCAAATGAATACATAAAATGGAATATTGGGGGAATTTGGACTCACGACCTCAGTGATGGTGCTATTTGTTCTATAGTGTAATGAACCAGGTCATCATCACTACATTCAGCTCTCTGCAGGGATTTTTTTTACGTACCAATAAAGTACTACTTTGTAAACTTGGAACACAGGTGGGTTAGCTGGCCTTCACAGCGGAGTGGCTACATTTCCGACAGCCTGTGAATGCAGCAGTAACATGCATGGTAACCGGGGCGGTTCTATGTTTGATAGAGCTGGGCGTGGGCTCCACACTCTTCATCCCCTCAGCTTACACTGTGGAAGCACATTGTTTAACGCGGGCTAATTTTACCCAGAACCAATGAATGCCTTGGTACATTGGAGCTGAAAATTAAATACCTTCTGGGAGATAATAAGGTGTAGATATCTGAAGGGGAAGGAGACCAAGAACATTTTGTTTTCTTGTGCCACAGCTACAAGGCAACAGAGTTGGGAGATTTTTTTCCTTTTCTCCGGTAGACGAAACGTCCTTCTGTCGCTAATTAGACCTCTGCTTGTTGTAAGTATGCAGTGCACATTCCGGTGCCTGAAATATGTCGGCGGTGACCGTTTTAGTCTGATGATAGGTCTGCTTTAAAACGCTTTCAGTGTTTTGGTCACTGCTGGAGATTGCTGTCCACAGTTAAAACATGTTAGCTTGCTATCGTAACATTTAAATTCACGCCCGGCAAGCCTCCACGTTATCAGTGGAGCTGAACAACTCATGTTTGAGTCGAATTACATGGGTTATGGGTTTTGCCTTCACCGCAGTTAAGCAATTATCTATTTTGATAACCAGTCTCCCTTGAGTTACGGTGTAGAAACTTGGTTATGGAGGGCTGTAGTTAGACCCCTGTGGATTCACCCACTCGTCTCAGTTCGAAAAAGAAACAAAAGGCATTTAAATTAGCACGGCTATAGTGAGGATTTATTTCCTGTGGCCCGTATTATTGCCTCATGTAAAGACGGTTTTGAGCCTGAGGTTGCTGCTGCCGATAGTGGCCACAGAGACGAGCAGGGTGACGCCCCGTCACTGAGCAAAAACTGAATGTATTACTGCGGAAGTTAGATTCCGTTACAAGGCTTTTATAAAGGTGCCATAGAATCATTTCTCCAATTTCTACTCTGACAGCTGTCTATTTAGCAAGTCACAAAGATTATGGCCATCAGGGCTGTTAGACAAGAAGAAAAACGTCTAACTCGTGCCAATCTTTGTTAGAATGTTTTGTATTCATCATATATAGTAAAATCAAGAGGTTTAGTGCCCTCATAGTAAACACAGGTTCACTTATATGTTTATTGTTGGTTTTTGCCATACTGTATGATTGTCACTGACTGCTGTTCTTTTTATTCACCGCAACATGACTGCAGCTGACCATAACATCATCTATGAATAACACGAGAAGACCCATAAAGATTTTTTTTTTAATCACAATAATATAGGTTGGAATTTCATTAAGGAGGTCCAGGTTTTCCATGTGAATCTGACATCACCAGATGTAGTTTTAAGAATCCAAAAAAAAAAAAAAAAAATTAGGCAGCCGGGAAACAGCTGGAGATAAAGGTGTGATGATAATCTCCTGTTCCTAACGTGAGTGCTGTCCAGCTACATGCCAACATAAGAGTGACTTCTGCATACAGAGATTTTTTTTTAAATGAAAGCTTTTCTTACTGCTTTCATCTGGAGGGATTTACTTTGTTGAATGTGTAGGTGTGAGGCTTGAAGAGGGCTCAGGATATGCTTGCGTATACATGCGAGTAGATTTTATGGGTGTGTGTTTTGTTTTTAGCCCCCCTCCATGTGTCATAGGCCTGACTGTCTTTGCTCCTGATTTGGTTTGTAATTCTTTAAAAGGTTTGTATGGCAGAATTTTCCTTTGGAGATCTGACTGAGCATTGGGCAGGATCTTCTGCAGGATGACCAGAAGCTTTGTTTATGTGATCCATTATATGTTTTCTGTGCACTTCCATGCTTTCACAAACACAAACTAAAACAACTGGACAAGACTCGCCCGTTCCTCTGATTGCCAAAAAAGATGGGTTTTTTGGGTGTTTGGTGCCTGATGATATGCCTCATGGCTCCTCTCACTTGCAGGCTTTTGTGTGGAGGTCAGCTGGCCTTTTTATCTCTCCTGCTGCTTCCACTGTCTCACCCTGCCTGACTAACTAAAAGGATGACCCAGTAGGGAAAAGGTCACTTGGACTCTGGTGCCTTTGAGAGCAACTTCTTTAAGCATGCAGACTATCACAGAAATTTCCCATGTAAATGTTTGTAGATGATTAAATGTTGGGAGGAGAATTCGTTAGTGAAATGTTTTTCTCTAGACTAGAGATTCTTTTTGAACAAAATGACAGGAGGACTTGGATAATTTCTAAATGGATAGTTCTGTTTTAAGTATGTTATTGTCACTCAACTAGACTTGAGATTGTAATTAAACTGCTTTAAGTAACAGTGATTCTTCAGCAGCTAGTCAACATGTATGTTTGGATGCTGTTTAGGAGGATGATGTCACTGGATAGCAGTGGGAGGGTGCAGTGGGCTATTCAGGCTTCAGGATGGGTCTTGGAGTCTCAGTATTCAACCGTGATACCTCCCTAGAGGAGTCCCCTTACCATCATCGCTCCATTAAAAATCTATTATCTCTGCAGTGGACTTGTGGCTCTGCCAGTGTGTATCCATTAACCAATTAAACATTCTAATGGAGAGCAGAATGCATGTTGAGGAAGATGGCCATTCATGAGTCCTCCTCCATGCATCATATGTGTTGAAGTGATGGAATTGTTTTCCAGGTTAAGAGAAATCCTGGGAAAAAGTAAAGATATTATTGACTCTCATTATTAGAGCCATGCACCCAAATTAGCTGGGGAAAGGACTGGGTGCCAAGCATTTTCATTGTTGATTTCTTTGTTAATTTTTCAGTTCTCAAGTCAGCCTCTCCCTCCTGTGTTTTGCTGTGTTCTCAGTAAGAGTGGCCCCCTTCCTCACCCTTACATACTCTGGTCCCATCACCCCTCTCTCTGCTCTATGCTCCCACCCTCTGTAAGATGTCATGTAAGATTATCCTCTTGGTCCAAGCAGGGCTCTAGGGTTTCTAAATGAACTGTTAATTTCTCAGGCTGGAGGTGGCATGCTATAAATAGCTGTAAACACAGACGTACTGCACTGTATAATGCTCCTTGATCAGCCATGTATGTAAGTGCTTTGGGGACTTTGGGTGGGATAGAGCACCCACTTTTAGACAGGACTAGCTATAGGCTGTCTCTGAGTCATGTATGTGTAAATGTGGGTGACTAGATGAGAATACAGTGGCATGACACTGCTATAGGGGCAGCACAACTGTCTGTGCACACAGAACAGAGAAACTATGCCCTATGTGTAGTTGAAACATGTAAAAAGATTGATGTGCACTGATGATTGTGATCTCCAGCAGCTCTGTCCTCATCGTCCCCTTCTATCTGCACAAAGACCAGCTCAGTATGAGCCCTGCTGACAACAAGTGGCTCTGAGAAAGCGGCATCTCTATCAATGATTCATTTTGCTATTCATCTCCAAATGTATGTGTGGATTATTAATCAGCTGCTGACATGGCCTACTTTGAGAGGAGATGGCACAGCTGTCTTTTTTTTTTTTTCTGTTGTTGTTGGTTTTATTTCCTCCAGTCTCCGGGTAGCGGG